GTAAATAGCCGCAGATGTGGCAAATTTCAAGAATAAGTCCGGGGTCCAAAATTAACGCCACCACGAACCTTTGATCATATCTTTCGGCCTAATCCCACTGACTTGTGTCCTATAATCTGTCACACGTTCTCGTTGCGAGACAAACTGCCATTCGTCGGCTTGATTGCTGGTCGACCAACAAGTCAAGTGGACGTACCTCGTCCAAGATAACCCGACCCTCAAAATCGACTATACTTGCTCGAGCGAGGGAAGATTCGACACCGTCCTCACCCACGCCAACCATTTCACAGTCGATTGCAATATACCGACCCGGTCTATGGACGAGACAAGTGAGTAATTAAATAGGCGCCAGACTCGACGCAGAGCAAAACAAACAACTCACTCTCCGATTAATTCTTGCCCCGCAACATCTTTCCCCAATATCATGTCCTGCAACGCTCTGACCTCTTCGCTAACCACTTTTGAGCTCCCGGCTACTACATCCGGGGCGGGACTTGTGGACACCCCTCCTCGGGGGAAGGAAGCAGACGGTACCTGGGAATGCGCTTGGACAGATTGTTTACTCGTTGAAGGAGCTTTTGGATTTGACGGGATTTTCTGGTCAAGGTCTTTTAGTACTATCACGCTCTAACATTCACCTAACTCAACGCACCTTTTGCAATGCCAACCAATTTGACCCCGGTGCAGCGCCAGCATCAGGTTTCTTCTTTCCCGCCGATTTTGATTTCGCCATTGCAGATATAGTACAAGATACAAATTGTCGCCTAAAATAAATGTTACGAGGGGTGGGGTATACTAGCTGCTCGAGGAGAGCTGGTGTAGAGCGCCGATGGTCGATCGAATTTCTGGTCCCGTGTCACGTGAGAACCGAATTTGGTCTTCCTTCTAAAAGCGGGGAATATTTGTTGTCCGATTCGCCTGCATACAGCCTTCGTTCCAACTTGGTGTATAATCAATGGAACGAGAGGGCGTATCTTAACGTGACGCACCTCGAGTTATTGCGTGGCTCTTGTTGGCGAACGAGCATTAAACCCTGAAATTAGAATTCCAAATTGGAATATATGGTCGCGACACATCTTCATATGCGGTAACGCTTCGCGACGTGGGGTAACAAAAGCAGTAAAAAGAAGTGCCCTCACCCTGGATCGAACAGAGGACCTCATCATTACTAGTGATGCGCTCTACCACTGAGCTATAAGGGCTGATGGCGGAAAGG